TGAAAAATTATTAATTCAATCAGAAAAAAAAGGATTCTATTGTTTTTCCTGATGTTATGCTGATTCACCTACACCTCCTCTGAGCTCTAAGGTCAGTGGTTTTGTTATAATGTTGATAATGGGGATGCCATAGTGGTTTGTCAGCGTCTGGAGTACATGATGTCCATGTCCATGCTGATAGTTTCTTTTTCCACACTTTAGGATCAACTAGGAGTCAATTTTAATGCTTGCTGACTGCTTTTGTACCTTTCTGTTTCTTCATTGGTCTACAGTTCCTGGTTACATATGGATTTACCATATACACAGTCCTTTTTGCATATATTATAAACTATTTATTTGTTATCTTTCTTACCCCTGCTTTCATCCAGCTCTATGTCTGCATTTCATTATCTGACCATTGGTGTTTTTTGTTGTTGCTGTGCCTTCAGGCTGGTGTCTCCCATGCATGTACTTAACACTATATTCTATCTCCTATTCTCAAAACCTTTCCCAAGACACTAGTTTTGTATTTTTCTATAGTGAGTTATTATAATAGATAAATCATAAAACTTGGGTGGCTCCACACAAAGATAAACAAAAGTAAATCAAATTAGCCATAGCCAGATGGTCAATTAGAAAAATTGCTGCTGCAGCAAAACTAAATGTGACAAATATGTAGACAGGTCTAAGAAAACTCAGACAGAGCAGGGCTGAGTCTTAAGCCATGCAAACTCACTATAGAGGCCACGCTCTGTCATAAGAAATGGCAAGACGTAAAGCGTTGCAGTGCATGCAGTGTTTTAGATTAACCGCGTTGTCAACATAGGTGATGTTTGGCATACTTCACTGGAAAAGCTGGAAGATATGGATGGGTTAAATCATGTGACAAAATTTGGAAATTACACTCGTATATACTAAGAATAAAAGACTTGTTTGTAAAAGCTGGGACCTTGCCAGTCGCTTTGGGAAGAACAGATGAAGCGAAGGGATTTTGAGTAATAGTTATTAACAGGAAGAAAGCCACCTGCAAAAGGCATATGTGATCCTAGAATATGCTGCATATGTTAACTTTGTTAGGGTTAAGAAAAATAAGCATTGCTGCTCACTGGCGGAACTTCATCTGAAATTGCCTATTTTGTTCTGGATGGTCTTGTTGAAAAGACGGCTTGTTTCTATTGGAGCAGGAAAGGAAAGACAGTTGTTACTGTAAAATTAGATCAGGAGGCAGTGAGGGATTTGGAATGGAGGCTGATGCTCAACTCAGGTCTTTTTAAACTGTAGATATAGTGTGATTTCTGTTTAGCTCTCACAGGTGCTCAGCATAGATATTTTGACCCGCCTCCACCCTTTTTCTGATTTTTCCTTTATTTTTTTTTTCTGCCAAGCAGAGGTTGATTGAGAAATCAACTGTAAGACTGAAGTAATTCCTGTGCCTCAATGTTGTTGGGAGAAGCCATTTGCTACAGGGCATCTCAGCTGGGCTTCAGTTCTCACCTCATTACACACCTCATGTTTTCCTAACATTTTCTGTTTCAGTGTTTAATTTTCATTAACCATTTCTCTCTTTTCTGTTACTGTTTTGGTGCTCTTTTCATGGCTTTAGTGGTGTCATTTCTTATTTACTCTCTTTTTCTGATCTTGTTCCAACTCATCATTTAAACTGTTTAGAACTCTCTCTACCTTTACTCTCCCTGTTCTGCAGCTCTTTCCACACCAAATGTCTCATTTCTTACTTTCTCTTGTAATTTTTTCCTCTTCTTATTGCTTGTATATATCAGTACCATTTGCTTATATTCTGCTTTTTATTCTGTTTAGAGCCTGTCATATAGATTTCTAGAAGTACTTTCCCTTCATGGCACCTAATCTGTAATTTCCACTGCTATAAATGGAAGTTTCATTATAATAATCAAAACATCGAAAATGAGTCCACTTGCTAGTAACATTTAAATTGAAGGTTGAACTGGAAATATTAACACAATCTAATGGAAAAGGAAAAGCTTGACACCTTATGAAGAAGAAGCTATTTTTAGTGGAACATGTTGTTTTCAAAAACAAGTCCAGATTGACAGTTTTTTTCTCCTCATCCTTTCAATGACCAAGTGAAATACTTGCAAGAAAAATGGAGGATTCATCTTGAACAATTATTGACAAGTGGGATTTTCTTTCTTTCTGAAAAAATACTTAATATTTAATAGGTACTATATATAGGTTATAGGAGATACTTTCATATATATATATATATAATATATATATATAATTTCATGAGTGTATGTGCCCTTGCTGATCTATCATGTATAATACAATGATGTAATTTGCTGTAGTCTCACATATTACATCAGATTCAGTGTGTTTGTGAGGTGTGAAACGAGGCATGATTCTGTTCAACACAGTTTTCCACTTGCTTATAATTAATAGCAAAGGCACTTTAGGAAACAGGTTGTCTCTCTCTGCCAGAGGGATACACATATCTGTGGGTTCAGTGTTTCCTTAGACAACTTGGCAAGGATTTCAATTGCAGAGGAACCTGGAGTCTTTGACAAATATGCTACATTGGGGCTTCACAGGGTTTTGTTTATAAGGCTTTGGAGTTTTTTGGACTCCACAAACTAGGTATTTTTCCTTCCAGTTTTGTGGAAAATAATACAGATGAAATTTGAACTTAAGTCTCAGTCAACTTGATATAAGGCATCTTCCCTATGGACAGACATTTACAACTCTTGCTGTTTCTGGCAGCTCATGAAGTTGTGCATTACCATTTCCCACTGCTGGCAGCAGTGATGTAGGAGGAAGCTCTTTGCCACCTTAGCACGTGCCTCTGGCATGTAGTGGCATCTTGTGCTACAAAGCTCCTATGCAGCCTTACTTCATCAAGGACTATTTGTCCTTCGCTATGTGTGTCCACATGAGCTGATAATACTCCAACTAGGGATTTAGTTATTTGGAGGAGAGGAAGTGAGAAATTGTAGTGGAAATGGGATGAGAGGTGAGATGCAGCGCTGCTGATGGTGAGGTTTCTCTGAGGGGTAGTGCCTGAAGGGAGAAAGTTGAAGTCTTAACAATATTGTGAGTATGTTTTAGTTATGAAGGAAAAGTTTGTGTGGTAAGGCAAATTAAAAGGCAGATTATTTATTTATTTATTTATTGCATATTTTACTTACTCATTTATTTATTCTTTTTTTTTTTTTTTTTTTTTTTTTAAATATGAAATTCTCTACATGGAAAAAAAATAGCAAAAGAAAGAAAAACTACACAGTAAAGCTCACACAGGATCAGTATGTGTCCAGGCTCTGTTTGAGTTCCCTGGTCATTTCTTTGACCTGCTGTTTTCTGAAGCAACCTAAACTGGTGCTAACAACAGCTACTTCAGGCATCTGAATGCCAGTTATCTTGCAGTTTTCATATGAACTTTAGTTAACTAAAACAATTACATTTTCTCATTTGGCTTCTAGCGTGATATTAAAGCTCTGTACTTAAAAATAAAGTCCTTGTGCTGTGGATTCTATTCCAGTTATTCATGTCAATTACAGTTATGTTGCTTTTGAACAAGATTTTTGCCAGCAGGGAATACTGAGAAGTACCAAATTAAATTTCCGATGCATTTTGTCTTTAGTTCATGGTGAGAATTATTACATAAATTTGCTATGCTTAGCAGAAGGAACTCATATTTCCTCTGAAATGTCTATGGCATCAGATTAGTTTTCAAAGCCATCGTAATGGCACTGCTGATGCCTCCTCCTAGACTGTGGCATAGCACAGGCCTTGATTTGAAAAAAAGAAGGTGGAGAAACACTCCATTCAACCTACTTTTATTCTGCCGTCTTGGAACCCTATTGCCTACTAGAGGGATGTCTTTGGGAAAAGGAAAGAATGATGTTTTCACATATAGAGCTGTTACAGCCATGCTTTTAGGTAATGTTCTTTAGTATGAGAGTGGTGAGGTGCTGGAACAGGCTGCCCAGAGAGGCTGCGGATGCCCCATCCCTAGAGGTGTTCAAGGCCAAATGGGCAGCCTGGCCTAGTATTAAATGGGGAGGTTGGTGGCCCTACCTGTGGAGATTCATGATCCTTGAGGTCCTTTCCAACCCATTCCATTCTGTGATTCTGTGGTTCTATGTAAAATGATACCAAAATGTGCTAATGCAAATTACAACAAAGTGAGAAGGAAGAATGCATGTAAACTATTTATGTCATCCAGTTCTAAATGACTTTTGGTGACTGGCTAATAACTGATGCTTCACCACTAAACAAACAATATTAATTTGTTTTTATATTGGAATATACGTTTCCTAAATCCAGTTTTTGGGTTCATTAGCATGCTATGAATAGTGTCTGTGTATTCAAGTCCTACTTCTGTGCCCATTTCTGCATTTCAGGTTAACGGCTATTATAAAGAGACACTAACTGTAGGGGTCCTACCCCTGTGCCCATTTTGCATTTCAGGTTAACTGCTATTAAAAAGAGACACTAACTGTAGGGGAAGGAAATGATAGGTAGCAACATAGCAATGGCAATTAAAATAATGCATCATATTTACCTATACATGTTGTTTTCATGAATAAAGCTCTTTTCAGATGTTGAGTAAGCCTAATAAGAACTTGAACTTTTGCAAGGTAGACAGTGTTGGATTCCCTACTTTGTATTAGTTGATAAAATGTAACACAAAACATATTCTATGTGAAATTGTACACAATAAATCACAGCCAGCTGTCAGGAAAGATAGGAGAAGTTTCAGGCCCATCACGAGTCTTGATTCTCTGACAGAGAGCAATAATTACTGACTATTCTGTGATAAAACTCATCCATAGCATGAGTGACATTGATCAGGGATTTAGTACAGGGACTGGAAAATAAAAGTTAAAAATCTTTGTATTCTCTTTGTAAGGAGCTAATTGTGTTTGACTTGCATGTGTCTTCTGTCCCTGAAGCTGAGCTTCCTAAAAAAGCTGTAGCTGCCATTTTGATGGGATCCCACCTTTTCCAATCTAACCAAGTGTATTTTCCTTTATCTCATTTTTCCCCAGAATGCTACAGCAACAACAGCAACGTCGAATGTTCACGGCTGCTCTCCTGGCACTTGTCTTCATTCTGGCAGCAGTGAGTACCACTGAGGCTGGAAAAAAAGAGAAACCAGGTAAGGTCTAGTGTAATACAGGGTTAATCCGTGAGGCAGATTGCATGTGTGGGACAATACAAAATGCTTTTGGTTTTTTTTTTTTGAAATTCAAGGCATTCATTAACCTTTTGACATGCATGATAGGTATTTGTTGCAGTGACATTTTTTCCTGTGCTCAGTAGGAAAACAGAAATTTGTTTCCATGAAAGCTGGCAGCTTGAGAGCACCAGAGACAAGAGACAAAGTCCTCACTTTATCACAGAATGGGTATTGCAAGACATCTTTCCTTAAAATCTGCTGAGAATAGGTTCATACTAGGCTAAGGGAGAATCACATAAGAACAATGGAAGAGTAGTTATCATGTTACTCATTTGGTGTGTTACATGCAATTGCAACACCAGTGCCATGAAAGTGAAAATCCTCCAGTAAAGGACTAGATGAACTCTGTGCTGAAAACAACCAGACATCCAGACCCCACTGCAGTAGGGAGAGGCCTGGAGTGGAAAATTGACATCTATGAAGCTCATTTTTGATGTTTTTTAAGAACTGCACGTTATAGTGTTTTTCTTAAGATCTTATATCTTTTAGGGTAGTATGATTAGGTCGCAGTTGAACTTGGTGATCTTTAAGATCTTTTCCAACCTGAGCAATTCTATGATTCTGTGATTATTTACATGCTGCTTACACAGGTTAATATGACTTGTTAGTCTATTAGAATTAGTATTTCCATTAAAAAAAAGGTTTTTCTAATCAGTGTGGCTGTAAGGAAATACTATAAAATATGGAAGAGCTAAAGCACAAATCATTCTATATAAGATTATTTAAAATTACATGTGATATTTGGGGTCTTAATTATTATTTTGGTCAACATTTGGATTTGTCCCTATTTTTGTCCCTACAGAACCTGCTTTTGTCCCTAAGAAACAAAACCTGATTAGGCTATCAGCATTTCAAGGTGTTCTGATCAAATTCTGAATGCTTACATTAGGAAGATCAAGAACCATAAAATCTTGTATTTACATATCCTTCTATATGTAGTGTAGTTTCTTATTTGCCTTTGAAGATTTGGTTATAATCTGGCATAAAATGTAATACGGTATACGCTAAGTGAAAAGTTTCTGCTTTTTCCAGGAGGTGCTCAAATCCCAAAACACAATGTCAGCACATAAATTTCTTATCTATATGGTGTGGTTTGCTCCAGATGAAAGTGAAAATATTTACATGCCATCAGCCACTGAAGGCAAAGGAATGCCCTTTGCTGAGTGTTTTGTTCAGCGGTCCCTGAGGGTGTGTAGATTCCCCACTCTGAAGATGAGAGTCTGATTTGGCTATTAGAAGTAGTGGAACTGACTTTGAATGATTGTGATTTGAAGTTAAAGCCTAAGAGGCTGAAATGTTTGCAGAAGTTTGAAGGGCATGCCAGATTTTTTGGTTGTGAAGCTGTTTTACGAACATCTTCCGTATTTACTCTCTCAGGCACTGTGACTATTTAGTGAAGAGACGTTTCTCTATCAGCTGTGAGTACTGACCACTTATCTTGTGTTTGCTTCCTTGTCTTCCACCAGAGAAAAAGGCTAAGAAGTCTGACTGTGGGGAATGGCAGTGGAGTGTCTGTGTGCCCACCAATGGAGACTGCGGCCTGGGGACACGCGAGGGCACTCGCACTGGAGCAGAATGCAAACAAACCACCAAGACTCAGAAGTGTAAAATTCCCTGCAACTGGAAGAAGCAATTTGGAGGTAAGCATCACACTTTCAAGGGACTGTTTTTTCCTTTTTACTTAAGTATGATGAAGAAAGACTATATTTTCTTCTTAGCTCTGCAAATAAGGTGCTATCTACCTCCAAGTCTGTTGCAACTAAATAATTTGAGGAATAGAAGGCAGATTCCTTAGAGTAAAGAAGCTCCTCCAGCAGAGAATCCAGATAATCTACGTGTTGTAAACTTAGTATTCCAGCAGCACAATTAAATCTCTTTTCCTGTGGTAAAGAGGTAAATTCCTCTTTTCCTGTAGAACCCTATTTAAAGCAGCAGTGTAAGAGTCATCTGTTCTCTCACAGCTGTGAGCCTCCACTATGGTTACTACTGGCTTTATGGGACCTTGTGATATAGGTGGCTACCAGTGTGTGTGCACTAAATGGAGGCCAGATTATTTTATCATTTTATAAAGTTTATATATGGCAACTGAGAAAGGTACCTCAGACCTGCCCCAGACAAGATGTCTGTCCAGAGCTCAGATCTTCGCAACTCTTGCAAAGTTAGCTTTTTTTTTGTTTTGTTTTTAATAAACGACTTGTATGGCTTTGACTTGAGTGTGACCTTTCCAAAGCAATCAGTGCAGCAGATTCAGACTTGACAAGACCATAGTTGCATAAACCTTCTTGAAACTATTCAGCCCTTACCTCTTAACCTTTGGCATCACACAAATGAAGGAACAATACAGAACTTGAACCGAGTTTTCATTTCTCTTTCTTTTTTTCTTTATTCTGTATCTTAATAGTTCAATATATTTTCATTTTATTTACATTCTGTATTGACAATGACACGATATTCATGCAAAAGCAAGAGGATTTTTTAAAGTCTCCTGGGATTCCTTTCTCCAGTTGCATGATCATTTGTCTAGGAGCACCTGCTGTGGGTGATGAAAGTGGTTATAATGCTACTCTTTTCTACTGGACTGATAACATTTTTGTTTTCACTCTCAATCCTTCTATTTAAAAAATTATCATTTATTTACTCATTGCAGCAGAGTGTAAATACCAGTTCCAGGCTTGGGGAGAATGTGACTTGAATACTGCCTTGAAAACTCGAACTGGGAACCTAAAGAGAGCTCTTCATAATGCTGACTGCCAGAAGACTGTCACAATCTCAAAGCCCTGTGGGAAGCTTACCAAACCCAAACCTCAAGGTAAATTCAATTTGCTGATAGTTGCACGCTAGTTCATTTCGGTTGATGGAATTGTGACGTCTCACATGCTTCAGTAGGAACAGGAGATTGTACTCTCATAGCCTTTCCTCAGACTGCATTCTCCTGTCTCCCAGCTGTCAGGCAGGCAATATTCCTGCATTATACAGTAAATGAAAACTAACAGACAAGAGGTGAACTGAAGATTAGGACCCCAGTTTTAACCCTAGACTACATGTGTTGCCACCAGTTTGTTGGTATGCAGCAGACCATCACAGTAAAGTGTTGCCTAACTCACTTGTTGACAAGAACATTCCAATAATAGCATGCAAGAACATGTCTTGTTGAGATAAACACACCTTTCATATTGACACTTGGTATTGAATAATGATGAATTGAAAAAGGGACTACTTTCCTCCTGGACATGTAGTGTTCAAGGGATATTTTACTCACTGCATGCTGAAAGGAGCGTATGTAGGTATTCTGCACCTTTTGGATTATATATTCTTTATTCGAAGACAGCAGGGATGAGATCACCTAATGTCTTAATTAACTGTAATTCCTAGTACAAAACAAGGCATATGCTCATTTTGTTTCCTAGTATCTCTTAGACAAGCTTATTTTATTTCTAGTTATTAAGGCCTTTTAATATATTCTTTCATTGGAATAATGTGTTACGTGTGTAGGATGATTTACAGTGGAAGCTAAAGCTGTGAGATATTGTTTAAGCAGCCAAACTAATGTGTTGTTTTTTTTTTTAATGTAAATGATACAAGCTATGTTACTCTGGCATTTGCTGCTGAAAACTAGATTAAAAACATTCCAGACTTTGAATATTTGGATAATTATAGAAATAAATGTGATTAGAGGTGACAGGTGGGACTTGGATGAGCAATTTTCCAATTGTGGTGGTGGTGCACCAGTGATCTGTGGAGTACTCTGCCTGTGTACCCTTGTACACCTTCAGTGAAGCTACCAGATAAGTGCTGAGTCTAAAACCTGTATGGATAATGCAAGTTGTGAAGCAGAAAGCATACAACTAGATTTCTGGAAACCAGCTGACTTAGTTGAGTTAGCAGCAATAAACATCTTCATTTGAACATGGAAGTGACTGAGAGGGAATAAAAGTGGGAATAAATGTAACAAGGGCTTGGAGCTGTGTAATTTTATTGCTTATTAGTTAGAAGGGAAGGATTTAGTTTTATTATTCTGTGGGTGTTTTTTTTTTTTTTTTTTTTTTTTTCAAATTTCCATGCATTTGGGAGTTTATTGGATGAAGTTTCTTCTTGTGCTGGCAGAAGGGCTCTGCTGCTCGAGCCACCCCCAGCCTTCTGCCTAGTCCTGTCTCTGTGGAGTCGGTGGGCTCTACTGATGGCTGCTGGAAGAGAGGGAAAAAATGCAGAGCATTGATGATGTTGGTACAGGGACATTTCATATTACAACTCTAAAGGCAGTGTCCTAGTAGAGCATGTGTCATTTCTGCATTGGAGTTCCTCTAATCCTGAAAGTTGGATCGTGACCATCTGCAGGAAGATAATTATGTGGTGCTAGTTAAACAGAAAATCTGACTTCGTTTGATTTGAAATAGGTACAAGCGTAGGTTTGTGATCATAATAAATTTGGGCAGAAATTCTGCTCTCCTGACTTGCATTAGAAATCTTACAGCATCTTCCTGTGTACCACCTGCTCATTCATCTGCTGTTGGCATTAGGAGGAGCAGCAAATGTGGAAGTCAAACACTTGCAGTCTGCCTGAGCCCAAGCTGAAGATAAGCAGTCCATATTGCAGATCAGTGTGTATGACTGCTTAGGAATTGCACTGGTCAGTGTGTTGACAGCAGTAGGAGGTACTAGGGGAAGAAATTAGGTCAAGCAGTTGAATACTGTATGCAATGTTGTGACCTACTGAACTTCATTACTGAGTTAAAAGCTGATTGATGAAATGAAGAATATTTCTGTTTGCTTCCTGAGGTGAGGGAAATTGCAGATTGGAGGTAAGTCCCTATCTGTATCTAGGTTAAGGAAAAAAATATGCAATCTATAAATATAATCTAAATCTATAAATATAAATCTATAAATATAATCTAAAAAGTGTGCAGTCTATAGTTAGAATAGAATGAATTTAATTCTTTGGAACCCTTAAGTAAGATCTAGGTTACTGCTTGAGCACTTGAAATGGGCTACAGATACATATTAGGCTCCCTTTTCTTCTGTAGCTTCACGTCAGCAACTCAGGACTACAAGTGAAGAAAGCATATAATACATTATTTGGAAGCAGCAATCTTTTTCCTGTGATGTAGCATTGTGTGAAGTCTGTATTCATATGCAGCTAAACCTGAAAATGCTGATCAGCCACCATCAGTTGCCACTGTGGTTGCCTGGAGTAGAAAGGCAGTGGTTCTCTAGTATCTGTGGGCACTGACAACAGAATTGTAGGTGAGGGTCCTGTTGATTAAAGGAATCTGCTCTACTGCTTAACTGTTACATTTTGGATCAGTGCAGGCTTCAAGAACTTCATCACTGAGAACATCTATGACAGCAATAGGCTGGGAGTACCAAAAATGCATATGAGATGACCAAGATTATTTCACTGAAAAGTAGCAGTATATTCAGAAAAAAAGATTTGTTTTAATAATTTTCCTGAGTAGCCCTCTTTCCCGTGGCCTGATTTTTTCCTTCCATTAGGTTGTATTTGTAACCTCTTCATTGCATTGCTTTTTCTTTTGATTTGGTATTATTATTAGGGTAAGTAAAAGCCTCCATTAATCTTCTCCAATCAATTGCAGCTTAATGTATCTTTTGTTATTTATTGTCACTTGCCTGCTGTTAAAACTAAAATTTTGATTTAAATATTTTGCTGTATTAGAATCTGTCCACAATAAGAATGTTTTCTAATGGACTTGCCCAAATTCCTTTTATTATTACTAAACAATTTCTGAGAGGAAGTGACTGGATTACACAGTGTTTCAAGCCTGTCCTCTACAGATTTGTATTGAAAAAGAAAACAGCATTATATCACTTCTTTTTATTCACAGTTTTACTTGTTATCTAAAATGGTTTTCTTCTGCTCACAACTTTCATGTGGAGCAGGTATTTTTATCTGAGACCTCCACAATACTCCCTGAATACTTTTTTTCTTAAATGAATTAATATGATTAGTTAAGAATCCAAGAATGAATGTAAGTCCATCTAGACTTGTCCAGTGCAGCACCATGTCTCAGATTTCACCTGGCACATTTTCATAGTGTAGCTGAAGTTCTTCCTCACTTTCACTGCTCTTTGAGAATAGCATAAATAAATTGATATCATCCATAAATGCTGCTCTGTTGTTGCTTTTCAGCTCATGAACGTAGCAAAGCTATGCTCATAGCATAATCCTGTTTTTCTCTTCTCTCACTGAACTACTTTAGAAGATGAGTACTGTTTTGGGGAGTTTGAATGATGTTTAACAGAAAAAAAATATACATACAGAAAAAATCAAAGGGTTGTTTGTCAGATTCACTGACAAAAACAAGTCTTGTTTTTGTTTTGTTTTGTTTTGTTTTTGAGGAACTTCCTTGGCCTGCAGCAAGACTTTTGCTAAATTAAGCCAAGACAACCTCATTAGCATTAGAAATCAATGAATTTCTGATAAACTGGTGATCTAAGAATTCTTATGGATTTATCATTAGCCAGCATTCATGGAAAAGCCTTAAAATCCTTTTGAATCTTTTGAAGTTTGGAAAATAACTTTACTTCCTGGATATTTTTTCCTTTAAATTTTTGTATGTTTTCCTTATTAGCAATTGCTCTGTCTTAGTGTTTTTCTTCTGAACAGCTGACTCTAAGAATGGATTGTATTCTTGGAGATCACTGCTTGCAAGACGAGAATTATTAGAGAACCTCTAATATTGGTTTCAAGAGAGAGAGAGACAGATGATGAATTAGGAATTTGAATTTTATCTGGATTCCTAATGGACTCTTTTTTTTTCATATTTTATGAGATGCTCTTGGATTGGATGACAATAGCTTGGTCTTGGGCTGCTGTACTGAAACAATGAAAACTGGTGTACATTCCTGAATATCAGTTTTGACAGAGAGATTGTCAGTGCTGTGACAGTGACATCCCAGACACCAGGGTTTGTTTACTTAGTACAGAAATGAAGTTATGAGAACTCCTGTCATAAAGGCTGGAAAGGATGAAACAATTTTTATCACGGGATCCTGGCAGAAGCAGACACCTCTTCTCTAATACGTACAACTGCATATTCTAATCAGTGTCTGAAGTGCCAGGGATGTCCAAGTTATCCTTAAACTGTCTTGATGGATGCAAAAGAATCAGGCACTTCTGTTGAGCAGCTGCTCTGATGGCCAACTTGCACTGAAGAGCAGAAATTGGTTCCGACAAATTCCATCTGACCTACTTCATGGCCACCCAAACATGATTGATGATTGTTCAGGTTCCAGCCAACCAGAGAGGAAAAGAATGGGATATTGTCAGGATTCAGGAAACATTTTGGTTGTACTTCTGAGAGAGAAGGAATTTATTTTTACTGAGCTAGGTTGCCTGGTAGGCTTTATTTGTTTTTTTCACTCAGGCTTTCTGTCATTCTTATTTTTCTTCTCTCTCTCCATAATTCTCTCACTTTGAACTATTTATACCTTTGATAAAGATAAAACGAAATACGATAAGCAGTTTACCTGGACACTTAGAAAAACAATTTTACTAGAGCTGGCAAACATTAATACTGTTTATGCTACTGTTGTCTTTAATTACTGGAGTTTCATCTAAAGATCATGTCATCCAGTACCCATGTTTTTAAAGACTGTTCAGAGGAAGGCAAGACTTGCAATAAATTATAATGGCTACAATGTCTTTTCTGTAATGAAGATCAGGTGTAGCATATTGCTCTAGCAATGCCTCAGCACATTTCCTGTCTTTGGCACTGTATGTTCTCCTACAGTGTTTTTACTAATTTCCCATTGTTTGAAGAGTTTTGTTTAAGAGTTAATAGCAAAATAAAT